GAGACGGCGTTGTTCCATCTAAGAAGAACAACGTCAAACCCAAGCGAAGTCCACCGGATATGACAGATCGAAGACGGAAAAGAATCGAAAATGAGGAATGGGATAAAGGGGCCGGGGGCGTGGGGGAGTAAGGGAAAATATGAAAATATGATACAAAACTCGTTGCAATTCCAGGAGTTCATGCAAATACAGGAATTTCGATCATGCCAAGCAATATGACCTCATAGGACAAACTAAGGCAGTCTGGATGGAAGTTTTGCAAATACTACAGGGAAAAAGATAATGACGATGATTTTTTAATATGTGGTTGACATGGAATGAAAATCTGGCCGAGGTGAGGAACGAATGAAACGAAGGTACGTTTTCGAAATCCGAACAGCTATAAATGGTGGATAAGACATAGATCAAACTCTAGCAGAGATGCTTAGCTCCAATCATTAGACAATCCGATACTGAAAAACTTGTAATGTCCAGTTACGACGCGGGTGCAGATGCGGCTGCGCTTGGTCGCGGTACGGTGCAGTTCTGGCGATGATTTTCTCCATAGCCACCCCGTTGTCCTTGGCCACGGCCGCCACGATAAGATCCACGGCCCCTATTGGAAGCATATTGATGCTGGCCATGTCGGCGATTGTGATTTCCTGGATTGTTAGGATGTTGCGGCGGTGCGGAAGTATGCTGATGCTGTTGTTGCTGCTGCTGCTGCTGCTGCTGGTGGCCAACGTTAGAAGTGGGTCGGGGGATGGTGTCGGGTGTGTCGTAAACATAGAGCTTTTTGTCGATGGATTGGGGGATTGGCTGGATTTCAGTGCCCAACTCCTGTTCAATTTTATACAGGTTATATCGATCCTCCCAGTTGATTAGGTTAATAGCCAAACCCAAGTGTCCAAACCGACCTGAACGACCTATGCGGTGAAGATAAGTTTCTGCATTTTTGGGGAAATCAAAGTTGATCACGACATTCACTGCCTGAATATCAATGCCGCGTGTCAACAGGTCTGAGCAGACCAGGTTTCGGCAAACGCCGTTACGGAAGTCGTGGAACACACGATTTCGGTTATGCTGTAACATTTTAGCGTGAGAATAAAAACATGAGTACCCCAGTTCGGTGATTTTCTTGGCGAGTAGTTCAACACGGTTTGTAGAGTTGCAGAAAATGATAGATTGATTGATTTGGAGTTTGGAGAAGAGAGTATTCAGACAGTGGACTTTTTGCTTTTCTTCGACGAACGCATAATACTGCGTGATGCCCCGAAGTGTAAGCTCGTCCATGAGGTTGATCTCGTAAGGATTCCTCATATGTTTGTCCTATATTATTTTCAAACAAAACGTATTAGGTGATCAACTGGAACCAACCCCAGGGTTTAGGGAGCGCTTACCTTGAAAGATTTGACGATCATTGGGAATGTTGCGCTGAAAAGCATTACTTGACGGTCCTTGGGATGGAACGACAGAAGCTGTTCGATAACCGGGGTGAACTCGGGTGAGAGAAGCTTGTCCGCCTCGTCCATAACAAAAGTCGAACACTCTGACAAGTCTGCCACACCTTTACTAGCAAGATCCAGTATTCTCCCAGGAGTGCCAACGATGATGTGAACTGCTTCATTCAGGCGTATAATATCATCCTGAAGGCCCGTGCCACCAGTCGTGACCATAACATTGATACCAAGATGTTTCCCGAGTGTCTTGCACACTTGCGATGTTTGAAGAGCGAGTTCTCTTGTAGGGACCAGGATGAGGGCTTGTGTTTTGGAATTTTTGGGATTCGTTCGTTCTAACGTCGGGATAACAAAGGCAGCAGTCTTTCCTGTTCCGTTTTTCGCGCGCGCAAGGATATCCCGCCCAGTGAGGGCCACGGGTATAGTTTCTTCTTGGATGGGGGAGGGCTTCTCAAAACCAGCCTCAAAAATACCCATCATCAATTCCCGCTTAATGTAGAAGTCCTCGAACTCTAGACCTTTCGTAGCCGTGACATCCTAAAATACAGAACATCGGTAAGATTGGGCGGTCAAACTAGATGGAGGTCAAGCACATTGTTTTTAAAGGTATATCTCACCTCGGTTTGAGTTCGCTGTGATCTGTTTGAGGCACTTTTAGATTTCTCTCCAT